GACGCACCGGCCCATAAGACGCACCTAGATTTTAGGGGGGGAAATAAAGGAAAAAAATTTATTTCCCCCCCAGGTGCGCTGCGCTAATCCAGAAGCTTGGGGCAAGCTGAGGTCAGCGCGCCCCAAGCTTCTGCGTGCCGGCAAGCAGTCCGCTGCCGCCCCAAGCCTCCCGCACCCGGCAGGAGGTCCCGCTGGGTGCGCAAGGCTTGGGGCGGCAGCGGACTGCTTGCGCGCACCGAGAAGCTTGGGGCCAGCTGAGCTCAGCCCGCCCCAAGCTTCTAGGTGCGCGCAAGCAGTCCGCTGCCGCCCCAAGCCTCGCGCACCCGGTGGGACCTCCTGCCGGGTGCGGGAGGCTTGGGGCGGCAGCGGACTGCTTGCGCGCACCGAGAAGCTTGGGGCCAGCTGAGCTCAGCCCGCCCCAAGCTTCTAGGTGCGCGCAAGCAGTCCGCTGCCGCCCCAAGCCTCGCGCACCCGGCAGGAGGTCCCACCGGGTGCGCGAGGCTTGGGGCGGCAGCGGACTGCTTGCGCGCACCGAGAAGCTTGGGGCGGGCTGAGCTCAGCTGGCCCCAAGCTTCTAGGTGCGCGCAAGCAGTCCGCTGCCGCCCCAAGCCTCGCGCACCCGGTGGGACCTCCTGCGGGTGCGCGAGGCTTGCAGACACTCGCCCGAAGCAGGGGGAGCCCTCCAGAGGGCTCCCCGTGCTTCGGGCGACAGGCTGCCGCCCCAAGCCTCGCGCACCCGGTGGGACCTCCTGCCGGGCGCGCGAGGCTTGCAGGCATTCGCCCCATAAGACGCACCCCGATTTCCCCTTCATTTTTGGAGGGGAAAAAGTGCGTCTTATGGGGCGAAAAATACGGTAGTTCTTGGGAAAGGGATGGAGAAGTGCGTGGGAAAGTGGACTAACTGAATAATGGGAAGACAATCACCGTATAAGCAAATCAGAAAGAATGCTTAAGAAACAGGTAATCTGAGGGGTTTTTTAAATGTAGTAAAACACAAAACCTACTAAGAGCACTGAGTTTTGTTATTCCTTTATTATTCTGTATTATTCTGAGAATTATATATATTTTCCTCTTTCACTTCAAATTAGACACAGCCTAACTCTGTATGTACCGATAGTTGCCTTCGTGGTTCTAGCAAGAAAGTGAAACAAGGAGAGCCATTTTGCTGCTATGACTGCACACCTTGTCCAAAAGGGAAGATTTCAGGCGAGGAGGGTAAGAAATATATGGTACAGATTTATATCTGGTTCCCTGAAACTGAGAGCAACATATGTATAAAACCTGTCAGGGAATTGGGAGCTGAGAAGGGGGAAATGATGGGGAAATACAGAGATAAGCCTCCGACCGTAAGTAGTTGTACCTCTTCAGAGGAGGGGGAGGACGAAGGGTTGTCAGGAAGCAATGAATCAGAGAGGGGGAGCAATTTCCAGGGCTTAGCCCTTCACGTAACAGAGGAAGGAAAAGGGGAGGGCTCTGGAAGTGGTTATGCTGGAGAAAACGAAAGCAGCAGCCAGTTGCTGCAACTAATCCGAATGAGCCGGACGTGCTCTGAGAGCTCTGTGTGTAAATAGAAAAATGGAACTAATTAAACCTATAAAACTGGCTGGAGGCCAGAATCATCTTTGACAAAAAACATATATTCACTAAGCTTTCTTTTCTTAGTTTTTGAAGCAAGGTAGAAAGATTTGGGTAGCAATGGACTTAATGGTTAACCTAACATATTTTTGCACACAGTTTCATTTCATTAACTTGCATTATTTAAAAAAAAATCCTGTTTTAAAAATGTAAATCTGCATATTCTCTCAATATGCATTTAACTGTATCATTGCTCATCAAAGTCCTATTCAAATGTACATTTTCCCCATGAAACATATTTAGATGTAGATTTTAAAACATTAAGCTACAGAATATCGACTGTAAAAACCTGGCTACTTCCTGATTTATGTGAAGTCGATCAGGAAGGGTTTCCAACCCTGCTACATTTCCTGCTGCTGATTGGCTGTCTGAGCAGTATGAGCGCCATCATTTACCATCTTTACATTTTTCTTTTCCTGATGTCCCCCCCCCCCCGAATCCTAATTATGTAGTCATGAAACGGTTTTTTATTATTTGTTTATAAAATTTAATAAGAAAAAGAAAGAAGGAAACAAGAGTTAGTGTGTTGGTGAGATTAATACATTGAGGTTAATACAAAATATTTTATTTCTCAGACATGAATGACTGTTATGAGTGTGAAGTTGAAAAGTATCCAAGCAAAAATAAGACTATATGTATTCCGAAGCATGCAACTTTCTTGTCCTTTGAAGAACCTCTCGGCCTCAGCTTAGCCTGTTCTGCTCTTTCCTTTGCTTTCATTACAGCACTAGTACTTGAAATATTTGTGAAGCACAGGGACACTCCCGTTGTGAAAGCCAACAACCGGGACCTCACCTACACTCTGCTCATCTCCCTCTTGCTTTGCTTCCTTTCTGCATTACTGTTCATTGGATATCCTGACAAGGTGACGTGTCTCCTCCGACAAACTGCTTTTGGCATCATCTTCTCCATGGCTGTTTCTTGTGTGCTGGCAAAAACCATCACTGTGGTTCTGGCTTTCATGGCCACAAAACCAGGATCCAGGATGAGGAAGTGGGTGGGGAAAGGACTGGCAAACTCTATTGTCCTTACCTGCTCCCTACTCCAAGCACTCATCTGCACTCTGTGGCTGGTGATCTCTCCTCCATTTCCCTAATGCTGACATGAAGTCAGTAGCTGAAGAAATTATACTGGAGTGCAATGAGGGGACGATGACCTTCTTTTACTGTGTCTTGGGCTACATGGGCTTCCTAGCTGTGGTCAGTTTCACTGTGGCTTTCCTTGCCCGGAAATTACCTGACAGTTTCAACGAAGCCAAGTTCATCACTTTCAGCATGTTGGTCTTTTGCAGTGTTTGGTTATCCTTTGTTCCTACCTACATGAGCACAAAGGGGAAATACATGGTGGCTGTGGAGATCTTCTCTATCTTAGCCTCCAGTGCTGGTTTGTTGGGTTGCATCTTTTGCCCCAAATGTTACATTATTTTGCTGAAGCCTGAGCTGAACAATAGGGATCTCTTAATTAGAAGGAAGTCTTGAAGAATGCATGAGAGTATCTCTTTTCTATATTGTATAGGCCGGGAATTTGTGTCCAACCATTGCATTGTCACATTGTCTAAACGAGGAATCTAGGGAGGGGCGGTCATTGTATGAAACCAAACCCACTGGTCAAATGTGCTGATCAAGCTGGAACAGAAAGAAAAGGAACTGAGCAGGGATTATTAATGAAAAACTGAGAACGATCTGAGGAGCCTGTTATAATGAAACACCTCAAGTGAGTTGGAGATAGGGAAACAGGAGTCCAGCGCATCTATCACTGTTTGATGCAGAAAGTCAGGAGACTCCAATGAACTCCACATTGACACCTTCATGCATGGAAGTAGGATCTCTCTTGGAGAGTGTTGGGGTCACATTTATAATACATCTAATGAAATAACATACTTATTCAGGGATTTGCTACCTTTAAATATAACTCCTTCTAATGGTATAAAATCATTCATCATACATGAGCAGCTCAAATTCTGCTATTGTGTATTTTATCTTTTAATATTATATCAATCTATATATTATTATGAATTCAGGCTGGGATGGGGAGATGTAGGCTGCATGTGAGTTCCTTATAACTCTTGGGTTATAAGCCTGATTCTGAGTTGAGACTGCAGTAAGCTTTATTTTACTTTGTCTTAAAACAGCAGTGTTTGATGTCTGTTTAAATCCAAGGCTACACCTTTAGGGATGTTAATGCTGTGAACCCCTCCATCATAGGCTCAGGTCATATGTATGTATAAATAAATAAATAAAACATGTATCTTAAAAAGTCACCGTCTCTGCTGTGCATAAAAAGACAAAGTTTGGATCAGGGCCTGAAGCCCCAGCAATCTCACACCACTTAGAGATTGGGGTGGAGTGCAAGATAAGTTTGCCTGCCCTTAAATTATATTCCCATTTGTAAAGCACAAAGAAAGGGAAAGGGAAAAATAAAAACGTATTTCTGGCACAACTGTTTAAATTTTTGCAAGGAAAGATGTGACAAGATGAGATAAGGAAAGTGAGATGCAGGAATAACGAGGTAATATTGAGCACTGCCGACGAATTACAAATGTCTTTCCCTGTTGGTGGAGACATTACCCATGCCTAATTTTAGTTTCTCCAGCATAAAATGTGATGCTTTCTCCCATCCATTGGCAAGACATGGAGACTAACTCATGCAATTGTTGTTCATGCATGTGAACTATGAAAGGAATGTAATTAGGGGGGAAACTCAGCTCTCCCTAGGTTTCTTCTTTCCAGGTCAGAATTTCCAGAGGCCAGTGCTACAGTCAAACATGTTCCTTTCCTCCCTGTCTTGAGACCAAAGGGTTGTATTACCAGTATTTTTTCCTTCTTGTTTATTATTGTAAGCCAAAATCTTATGCAGCTAAGAGGATATGAAAACTTCTGTTAGGAAAGATGCACAATTGACTATCTTCCCTTTAATTATCAAAATAACTGTAATTAAAGTCCCCACTTGTCTAACCAACTCATGGACTTGCTCAGTACACTATCAAAGCTAATGAGGAAGTCTGTGAAAGGTACTATAATTGAGCCTTTCAAAGCCTGGTGCCCTTGGGCAGTTTTGGATCACAAACCCATCAAATGCAGTCAGCTTTGAATGCTGTGAATTGCAGTCTAAAATATCTGAAGGATATAAGGTTGCAGAAGCCTGATAAAAATATCTCACCTCCAGCAATCACAGCTAGACCTAAGAATCATAAAGAAGCAAGGATCCATCAGTGTCATCACTATTCCCACCCACTCACAGTTTTCACAGTCTGGATTTCAGATATATGAGCAGACTAAAAGGTCAACTAGGTGAAACTACTTCAGTCTCATAAGCTGTAATAGTACTAGGGGCATCTTAGTGCATAGGGAAAAATAGTACCAAGGATGGTGGCATTATTGGTCTTGCTGCTGATTCTACTTCCTCATGCAATATGCAAATCAACCATTGTTAAATGTCATGTCCATGATCCACACACTCCACTTCATCAGTATCATGCGAAAGGAGACCTCATCATTGGTGGCATTGCCTCTCACAGCATCATCATCTCCATTTCAATACCCTTCATTGAAAAACCCCCACCAACATTGCTTGAAGAGCTAAAGTAAGACCTGGATAATTTCTCTTTTGCATTTTTATTCCTTCTTTGGACAATGAAGCAAATCAGTTTAAGAGGTGGGGTGGCTAAACGGTGGCCTTGAAGTGGTTGTTTGACTCCAACAGTTGCAGCCAACAATGTCCATTGATAATAATAGAAGCGTTAACAATTTATATCAGGAATATTTTAAAGTCTGTGCTCCCTTACGATAGAATTTTCCCCTATCTGCCTTTTCTGCCATTGTAGGCAAGGAGGAGGATCACTTGTAGTGATACCTGTTCAAGATAATTTAAATAATTGCAGTAATAAAAAATACAAATGAGCAATGCTTTTTCCTAAAAAAAAGTTTAGTTGTACCCTCATTTTCCTACTTATATTGAAATACTGCCCCTCAATGAGACCAAACTTAGATTCACAAAATGTTTTGGGGGTATGTGTACCCCTGCGTCTCCCAAGAAAGAAAGCAGTGCTAATGAGGATAGTGTAGAACTGAGTTGTGATAAATTTACAAAGAGTTACATGCCCTTCTGATGGAAAATGAAACTCTTTTTTTAGTGTGGTGCCAAAGAATTACCAGCACATCCTGGCCTTGCAATTTGCAGTGAAGGAGATCAACGAAAACCCTCAGCTCTTACCCAATGTCACTTTAGGCTTCCGCATCTATGACAGCTATTTCAATGCCAAATGGACCTCTTATGCCACAATGTTACTCATATCCACACTGGAAATATTTGTCCCCAACTACATCTGTGACATCAAGAAAAACTTGATAGCCATCATTGGGGGACTGGACTCCCAAACTTCCCTTCATGTGGCAACAATCTTGGATATCTATAAGGTTCCACAGGTGAGATATGCATCTTTTTGTCAAGTTATGGGAACTTAAGATATCCAAATAGATTTTGATAAATCAATATGCACATTTCAAATAATCAGGCATGTCATGCTAATGACAGAGCCAAGGTAAGAGATAGAGCCTTGATAACACATAGGTTATTGCTTCAGATGTCCCTTTTGGCCTAGCCAGTTCCTGACATATGATAACAGCTGATTGGCAGGTGAGAATCGCTTGGCTTAGCAAAAATAGCATGCACAGGCCAAATGGTGAGGATTGGAAGGCCCAATTGGAGATTGCCCCAGTGATGCTTGCATTACACAAATCTAATACCTAAAAGTTATTGTTGCTTCTGTCTCTTTCTCCTCCTCCAACAACTACGTTTAGCTCATATATGGTCCTGCTCCAGTGATGAATGATAAAACCCCAGGCCTTTTCTTCTACCAGATGGTGCCCAAGGAAGCCCACCAGTATAAGGGGATCCTGTATTTGCTTCTGTATTTCCAGTGGATATGGATTGGGATCTTTACTTTCTATGATGAGAATGCAGAAAGATTTGTGCAAACTGTGGTTCCACTATTTTCCCAGAGTGGCATCTGTTTTGCCTTCATAGAAAGAAGTCACACATTAACTTACGTCACTGAAATTAACAATATGTTTAAACTGGGGGCAAAAATTAATGACAAAATAAACGATAGCAAAGCCAATGTAGTCTTGTTTTATGGAGAATCATATACTCTGGCATTTTTTAGATGGTTGCCTTACCTATCAGAACTGGAACAAAGTTCAAATAAGCCAAAAGGTAAAGTGTGGATCATGACAGCCCAGGTAGAGCTCACTTCTTTTGTCTATCAACGGACTTGGGATACAGAAATACTGCATGGGGTTCTCTCATTCACAACTCACTCAAATGATCCACCAGGATTTCGTCAGTTTGTCAAGAGCAAAACACCTTCCAACCCGAAAGGAGATGGCTTCATTTTGGACTTCTGGCAACAGGCATTTGGCTGCGTATTTCCAAATCGAGTGGTTGGCAGTGTGAGGGGAGATATTTGCACTGGGCAAGAGAAGCTGGAGAATCTTCCTGGTCCTTTCTTTGAAATGAGCATGACCAGCCACAGCTACAACATCTACAATGCTGTCTATGCTGTGACCCATGCTTTACATGCCATGTCTACATCCCGAGGCAAACACAGACCAGTAATGATCAGGGGAGGAGTCAAATTTCAGAATCAATTGCTTTGGCAGGTAATGGGCTGAACACCCTGAAAGAGGTTCAAAACATGTTCTGTTTGCTTTTCTATCTATTGTCACTTTCCTATGTAACCCCAGCAAGGGTCCCCAATGTCGGTGCAGCAATGCTCTTGAACAGGGGTCAGCAAACTTTTTCAGCAGGGGGCCGTCCACTGTCCCTCAGGCCTTGTCAGGGGCCGGACTATATTTTTTTTGGGGGGGGGGGATGAACAATTTCCTTTGAGCCACAAATAACCCAGAGATGCATTTTAAATAAAAGCAATCATTCTACTCATGTAAAAACATGCTGATTCCCAGACCGTTCGTAGGCTGGATATAAAAGGTGATTGGGCCGGATCCGGCCCCCGGGCCTTAGTTTGCCTACCCATGCTCTTGAAATCTTCCCTATCTGCCTCCAAAGCACCTTCCTCTATTCACTGCCCTTTGGCCATGAGATAGTTGCTTTATCTCTCTTGAAATGCAAATACAGTATTGGTTTTTCTACAGATATCACCATATTGTCTGCAAATGCTTTCAGTTGATATTGTCTCTTTCCCAATCTTATGTTTTAATATCTTGATTACTTCTTATTCTTTGCACCAGTACTTCTAAAACTCTTATAAACAACAAATGTGACAATGAGCAGCCTTGTCTCATTCCTTTAGTTATTTTACAGTTCTCAGTCAGGACACTATTTACTATCAACTTAGCTGACTGTTTTGTATATATTGCCTTAACTCCTTTTATAAAAGTGTCTCCACAACTCATATGCTCTAAGACTTTAAACGTAAAATCCCTGGCACGATTATAAAATGCTTTCTTGGCATCGAGAAACATTAAACCCAATTGTTTTTCATTTCTCACTTGCAAGTATTCTCATATATCAATTACATTTCTAATATTATCTTTCATTTGTCTTTTTGGGGAAAATCCAGCTGGACATGGTGGATTACCTCTTTTAATACCTGTTTCAACCTATTTGCTAATATGTTTGCAAAAAGTTTATAATTATTATTCCACAAAGATATAGGTTGATAAATTTTTTTGCTAGTCAGGATCTTCGTCTTGTTTAGAAATCAAAGTTATATAAGCATTCTTCCAGGATTCTGGCAGCTCCCCTGTATTTAAAATCATATTCATAATGTCCTTTAATTGTTGTATTAGATACTTCTGCAACTTCTTATAGTATATTGCTGAAAGACCATCAGATCCTGGTGCTTTCAAAGGCTTTTCCTGTAAAATTGCTTGCTGTAATTCCATCATTGTAACCGGTGCATTCAAAGTTGTCATTTTATCTATTGGTATTTTAGACATTCCACTGTCCTATAGATGTTTTTGCATTTCATCTAAATTACCCCATTTCCCACAAAATAATTCCGTATAAAAACACACAAATTGGTCTCTTATTTCTTTAGGACTTTCCACAACTCTACCTGCTACATTAATTTTATTTATACAGGCTATCGCTTGCCTTTGTTCTCATTTGCCATGCGAATAATTTCCCTGGTCTATTAGCCAGCTCAAATTGTTTCTCAAATTTTGTCTCCTGTTTCAAATTGATTTCAAAATAATCTTTTAATATCTCCGCCCTTTTCTAATATATCTTTAACTTTTAATAAATTCTCATTTAATTTCCCTTTCAATGGGGAATTTTTCCCTCTTCTTAATTCCATAATAATAGAGCATCCACTTTTTGTCAATAAAGGATTTATGGCTCTGTGTTCAGGTGCTGCTGGAGATCATAAAAATCTGTAATTTAAAATGAACTTTAAAATGTGAGAAAGTCTTGGCTTAAATATTATAGATATAAAAATAGAAGAAATAAAAAAATCTGCTTTACTCCAATGTTGATATTTCAAAACAATTCCTAAAATTATGGAGAAAATAAAAATCTTTGTCAGGATAGCAGGATATTCCATAAATTGGACAAAATCAGAGATTTTACCAATAGGGCCAAGGGCTACATTGTATAGAAAACATCAATTTAGGATGTGCAGAGACTTTATTAAATACTTGGGTATAATGATTTCATCAGATATAGACCAAACTGTAAAATTAAATTTGAATCAAATTATAAATGAGATTTCTTTTGATATTGAAAGGTGGGGACTTCTAAACCTCTCCCTTTGGGGGAAAGGTTAATGTCCTCAAAATGAACGTTGCTCCAAAGTTTTTATACATTCTAAGAGGATTAACAAAATATATTCCCAAACTATACTTACAAAAACCAAATCAGCTATTTAGATCATGCCTGTGGGGTACAAAGCCACCAAAAATATCACTACATAAAATGCAACTTCCAACTAAGGAAGGCAGCTTTGGGTTTCATGCTGCTACAAGATTTAATCTCTGCAACAAAACCAAAAAACCCTACACTTGCCCTAAACTCTACTCAACAGGAAGAAATATGATTTAGAATATGATAGACAAAAATGGAGTGAAGAGTTAGGTCCAGTCGTGACCGACTCTGGGGTTGCAGCGCTCATCTTGCTTTACTGGCCGAGGGAGCTGGCGTACAGCTTCCGGGTCATGTGGCCAGCATGACTAAGCTGCTTCTGGCGAACCAGAGCAGTGCACGGAAACGCCGTTTACCTTCCCGCTGGAGCGGTACCTATTTATCTACTTGCACTTTGACGTGCTTTCGAACTGCTAGGTTGGCAGGAGCAGGGACCGAGCAACGGGAGCTCACCCCGTCGCGGGGATTCGAACTGCTGACCTTCTGATCAGCAAGTCCTAGGCTCTGTGGTTTAACCCATAGCGCCACCGCATCCCACAGCTACCCCAAGAGTTAGGGGTACAGATAACAAATTATATATGGGAGTCAAATATAAAATCAACAGAAATAGCCTCTATGGATCTCAGACTAAGACTTATTCAACAGAAAATAATATTCAGAGTCCACTGGACTCCAGCAAAACTATACCAGAAGAAATTAACAAGTGCAGACAATTGCTGGAGATGTGGGAGTAAAAATGTGAACTTAATACACATGTTGATTAACTGCCCGATTATAAGATCGTTTTGGTGTGAGGTGAGGAGTAATAAAAATAAATTGTTATTTACAGGAACTGAATTTAATTCTAAATTATATTCCGGAAACGTGGGAGATTTCAAGGGGTCAAAAAAAATTGGATGTACTGTGCTATATTGGAAGCAAAAAACCTTGTTTTGATGAACTGGAAGAGCTGCAAAAAGATTCCATTGATCACATGGATTGATAATATGGACAGATTAGCTACATACAAACGAATTGCATGTCGACGCACAATAAGAATAGATAAATATGAAGAAATCTGGAACGAATATTTAAGTGATAAGGCAGATAGTGGTGGGAAGTAGAGGGAGGAGAGAGAGGTGGGAAAGTATTGTTGTTGTTTTTAAAAAGGTATAGTCATAGGTATATCATTGTATCCAAATTTGAATTGTCAAATTGTGCTATTACTGTTATTATGGTGTTTGTAGTATATGTCTTTTGCAGTTGATGTTTGTATCAAAAAATTGATTAAATATTTTTTTTAAAAAAAACTTGCGATGAAAGTGAACATCATGATTGTCCCTTGCTGAATTGAGGCCTTTCTATACTTTCTCTTTATTTCTAGCTCCATCATTTTCTGAGGGGTATCTCATTTAACAACAGCGCTGGGGATAAGATTTCCTTGGACCAGAATGGGGAGATATTGGCTGGATTTGATATTACCAATTGGATCGTTTCCTCCAACCAATCCTTTCAGAGAGTGAAGGTAGGAGGGGTGGATTCCCTGGCTCCTCCACAGCAAATGTTGACCATCAATGAGGGAGCCATAAAATGGCACCATTGGTTTAACCAGGTAGGATGTGAACATCACCCATTTGTTAATGCGAACACTTTAACATAACATACAAAGATAATTTCATTGTGCATTTTTCAGCCTTTATAAAATCGGATTAAAAATAGCACAAGCTATGTATTAATGTTATAAGCTAAATGCACAGCCTCTATACTGGTTCCTGTTACACTGAAAATGAATATATTAACTGACAATATGAAGAAGTGAATTCTAAAAAGATTTTGTTGATATTCAATATATTGTTGTGAGTTTGAAGGATCAGTCTGGGTGAAACCCAGGTTCCCTGTGCTGAACTACAGTGGTGCCTCGCAAGACGAAATTAATTCGTTCCGCGAGTTTTGTCGTCTTGCGATTTTTTTCGTCTTGCGAAGCACGGTGTCGGAAAAGTTTTGGAAAAGCTTCAAAAATCACCAAAGTCTTCAAAAACCTCAAAAAAGGCTACCACATCACGTGCTATGAGTTGCTCCTCGAAGTCAAGTCGCAACTGTATTAACAGTGTTAAGAAAAAGGAAACAAACTTGCAAGACGTTTCCGTCTTGCGAAGCAAGCCCATAGGGAAAATCGTCTTGCGAAGCAGCTCAAAAAACCCTTTCGACTTGCGGGGTTTTTGTCTTGCGAGGCATTCGTCTTGTGAGGTACCACTGCAGTTTAAATAAAGCCGTAATTCAATACAAATTGTACCCAATGGGCCAACCTAGATAGTATCTGAAATATGTGGGCTGCCACACATCTGTGCCTATGTCCCAAATTTATGACAATGCTTTGATAAGGAACAAACATGATGTGACATCAACTTTTACTTAAGTCCCATAACAAAAGCTTAATCCCTATAACCTCTGGTTGTTATATTCCTAAAGGTAAAGGTACCCCTGCCCGTACGGGCCAGTCGTGTCCGACTCTAGGGTTGTGCGCCCATCTCACTTAAGAGGCCGGGGGCCAGCACTGTCCGGAGACACTTCCGGGTCACATGGCCAGCGTGACGAAGCTGCTCTGGCAAGCCAGCACCAGCGCAGCACACGGAAATGCCGTTTACCTTCCCACTATAAAGCGGTACCTATTTATCTACTTGCACTTAGGGGTGCTTTCGAACTGCTAGGTGGGCAGGAGCTGGGACCGAAGGACGGGAGCTCACCCCGCCGCGGGGATTTGAACTGCCGACCATGCGATCGGCAAGCCCTAGGCGCTGAGGTTTTACCCACAGCGCCACCCGCATCCCAAACTATATTCCTAGACAGAAGTAAAGAACAAAGTAAGGTCTTTGGTGTTTAAAATGTTTTGTACAATATCATCAACAAGGGAGTCCTTACACCTCCCTGTACCTTGGTACCCTCTGGCAGTCACTAAGGATCATTTTCAAGGGCATCTGAATGCTCCCCCTTTGATACTGATATGAAGCCCACAGTTGAATAGCTCAGTGGAGTTACCTGCCATCACTTATAGAGCAGTGACTCTCTATTGTGGCTTGCTAAAAGACTCAAGGCAAGGATGTGTGATGATAATATAATACAGATTGCACAAAAACACATTGGATCACACCACACAGTTTGTTTAATTCACATGATAATTTTAAAAATAGAATTGCATTAAGATAAAAAATAAAAGGTTGCTTCTAGCTCCCATATGCTTTAATGGGCAAGGAATATATTAATTATGTTGTTCAATTGTTCGTTTCTCAAAAATCTATTAATAGTTTTATAAAAAAAGTAAAGCATTAGTCATGTTTGAACGACTCTGACCTTTGTCAACCAATGAAAGTGTGTCATTCTTGACAAACCTGAACAAATTGCATCAGTGGTTTTCACCAAAATTAGAAAGAAACCTATCTATGGCTTGCAGGTACAAATATTTCAGTAAAACAGGGGTCCATTTGGAATTGTAGTCCCAAACATCTGGAGGGCCGGAGTTTGCCTGTGCTTGCTATAGAGGATATAAAAAACATTACTAGCCACAAAAGTAACTGCAAAAAAACAATTTATTGGAGTTTGCACATTGAGTCAATGGAAAATGCCAGAAAATGAGTCAAAATGGAATTGAAACAAGCTATTAAATGAATTCCTGAAATGAATGCTGTTGTTCTTTTGCAAATCCCTTTTAAGGAAGAGCTTAACTTTTCCTTTTAGCTTTTCTTTGAACCCGCTTATTTTAAACATATCTCTCTCTCTCATTTGTGTATTAGACACAGCCTAAGTCTGTATGTACTAAGAGCTGCCGCCCTGGTTTTTGCAGGAAAGTGAAGGAGGGGGAAGCATTTTGCTGCTATGATTGCATCCCATGTCCAGAAGGGAAGATTTCAGACAAAGAGGGTAAGAAATTTACTGCATATATTTATAGTTTGTTGCCTCTAATCGAGAACATGCGTATGAAATGATGCATTCACCAAGATTCCATTTGACAGTTTATGAAATATTGAGAAATCTGGCTGAAGAGGGACTAATGAAAGTGTGTGTGTGTGTGTGTGTGTGTGAGAGAGAGAGAGAGAGAGAGAGAGAGAGAGAGAGAGAGAGAATTTGTGATTGTGGATGTTGAATGCTGTTAATAAGGAAGAATCCTATAGAAAGATCCACCAGGATTAGTATAAAGTGGATTTTCAGATGAGCCAGGAGGGTTCTGTAACACCTGGAAGTATGTAATCATATCGCCCTCATCCAGGCTTACAAATAATATATTTTTCCTTAAAATAATATTTGAATGTGCATTTACTTTCTGGTAACATATTTAAACATGTATTCAGATGCACATCAACTTCAGAGAATTGTGTCGTAATGTTTGATGAAGTGTGAAACAGAAAACAGTTAAAAGGTGTTGATTAGGTCATCAAATGTAGAAATTTGCAAAGACTGAATTACACTATCATTTCTTAATTAAGGAGTGAGTAAGTGTGAGCAACTGCCAAGTGTGGGCAAGGTTCTGAAGCGAGTGGTCACAGACCAGACCCATGTGGTTTTGGAAGAAACTGATCTTCTGGATCCATTTCAATTGGGGTTTAGGCCTGCTTATGGCACAGAAACTGCTTTATGATGACCTCTGTCAAGAGAGAGACAAGGGAAACATGTCCCTGTTCATTCTTCTCGACCACTCAGCATCTTTCAATACCATCAGCCATGGTATCCCTCTGGACCGATTCTCCGAACTAGGGTTGGGTGGCACCGCTTTGGGGTGGTTCCAGTCCTACTTGGATGGTCGTTCCCAGAGGGTGTTACTTGGGGGATGCTTTTCAGCCCCGTGGAACCTTCAATGTGGGGTTCCTATCCGAACCTTCAATGTGGGGTTCCAATCCTATCCGACATGTTGTTTAACATCTATATGAAACCGCTGGGTGGGGTTATTCGGAGGTTTGGAGTACGTTGTCAGCAGTATGCTGATGACAGTCAGCTCTTTTTCTCCTTTACATCTGCAGATGAGGCAGTGGAAGTGCTGGACCAGTGTCTTGCCTTGGTAATGGAGTGGATGAGAGCCAACAAACTGAAGTTCAATCCAGATAAGACTAAGGCACTGTTAGTGGGTGGTTCCGTAGACCAGATGGCTGGGAGGTCACCTGCTCCTGATGGGGTTATACTTCCTCTGAAGGAGCAGATTCATAGCATGGGGGTACTCCTGGATCCTTTGCTGTCGCTCAAGGCTCAGGTGGCCTCAGTGGCCCAGAGTGCCTTCAGTCAGTTTCAGCTGTTGTTCCAGCTATGCCCCTATCTGGACAGGGATACACTAACTACTGTTGTCTACACTCTAGAAACTTCAAGGTTATATTACTGCAATGTGTTATGTGTAGGACTGCCTCTGAAGATGGTTCAGAAACTTCAGCTAGTGCAGAATTCAGAGGCCAGGTTGCTCACTGGAGCAAGACGGTTTGAGCATATTACACTGATCCTGGTCCAACTGCTATCAATTAGTTTCCGGGCCCATAACCTATAAAGCCTTAAAGGACTCAGGACCGCAATACCTCAAGGACCGCCTCTTCCCATATGAACCTACTTGGTCCCTGAGATCATCTTCTGAGGTCCTCTTTCCCGTGTCTCCTTCTCAAGATGTCCGGAGCTTGGCTACATGAGAATGGGCGTTTTCTGCAGTGGCTCCCCATCTATGGAATGCCTTTTTAACCAGGCCTTTGGTTGATCTCATTGTGAGACCTCCAGATATAGGGGGGTGTATAAATTGAATGAATGAATAATACAACAGTGAAAGGAAATTTTTAGTTGGCTTCTGGCTGTAGATCAAGAAGTGTCATTGTGGCCCTCGTGCTTTTTGTCTCAATCAGTATTCTACATCGGATAGGTGAAATGGGCATGGGTCTATCATTTTTAATCTTTATTGTTTGGAACTCCTTGAACACTCTTTAAAATATTTTAATTATGTATTATCAAGGTCCTACTTTAATTTTTAAAAACTGGTCCAAAATGTTGAAATAAAAAAAAAATAGAAGAAGAGTAGTGGCATGTTGGTCATAATTTTGGGATTAAGGACCATGTTTTTCTTTCTCAGACATGAATGACTGCTGTGAATGTGAAGATGAAAAGTATCCAAACAAAAATAGGAATATATGTATTCCCAAGAGTGCAACTTTCTTGTCCTTTGAAGAACCTTTGGGCCTCAGCTTAGCCTGTTCTGCTCTTTCCTTTGCTTTCATTACAGCACTGGTATTAGAAATATTTGTGAAGCACAGGGACACTCCTGTTGTGAAAGCCAACAACCGGGACCTCACCTACGCTCTGCTCATCTCCCTCTTGCTTTGCTTTCTTTCTGTATTACTGTTCATCGGATATCCTGACAAGGTGACATGTCTCCTCCGACAAACTGCTTTTGGCATCATCTTCTCAGTGGCTGTTTCTTGTGTGCTGGCAAAAACCATCACTGTGGTTCTGGCTTTCATGGCCACAAAACCAGGATCCAGGATGAGAAAGTGGGTGGGGAAGGGACTGGCAAACTCTATTGTCCTTTCCTGCTCCCTTATCCAAGCACTCATCTGCACTGTATGGCTGGTGATCTCTCCTCCATTCCCTAATCTTGACATGAAGTCAGTGGCTGAGGAAATTGTACTGGAGTGCAATGAGGGGACGGTGACCTTCTTTTACTGTGTCTTGGGCTACATGGGCTTCCTAGCTTTGGTCAGTTTCACTGTGGCTTTCCTTGCCCGGAAATTACCTGACAGTTTCAACGAAGCCAAGTTCATCACTTTCAGCATGTTGGTCTTTTGCAGTGTTTGGTTATCCTTTGTTCCTTCCTACATGAGCACAAAGGGGAAATACATGGTGGCTGTGGAGATCTTCTCTATCTTAGCCTCCAGTGCTGGTTTGTTGGGTTGCATCTTTTCCCCAAAATGTTACATCATTTTGCTGAGGCCTGAGCTGAACAGTAGGGAACACCTAATAAGAAGAAAATCCTGAAGAAATAAAAAATCTGTGTGACTGGTTATAATACCTAGTAAAGCAATTTGCATGTATCCCTGAAAAGAAGCACCCAGAATTCTTTTCAGGCTACCACTCCGCAGGATTTAACCCTCCTCTGATGTCTCCTTTCCCTGCTTGTTCCCAACTCTAATTAGAATTCTTAACACACCAATTAAATATTAGCCCTACCTCCAAATTGCTCTGAGGATGGATGCAAGGCAGGGCCATTGTTCCCTCAGCCAGCCCAATCCAGGGCCCCAGATTGCACCCCCAGATCACAAAGGCTGTGCAGATGTCCACTGAGCATGTCTATTGCCTATAAATCCCCACTACTTGCCGTCTTTCAACACACTGAGTCCCCCATATTCAGCAATCCCAGACCTAATTTAACTTTTCCTCTGCTGACTATGAACTCTGCATTTGTCATTCTTCGCCCTCGGCACTGTACTATTCTGCCCTGATGCTCTTTCCCACAACTTTTCCACACTAGAGATGATCCCACCCTGTCTAATCCCATCTTATTTTTCTGCATGTAGCTGTGTTAATATACATCCTGCCCCACTCCAGTGGAGATTTTTAGGATAATTCGGTGGATATCCCTTAAACTGCACATAAAACCGCCCAGTACTATAAGGTTTATGAAGGACCTAGCACTGTTTAATGAAGAAGGTCAGGAGATTCCAATGAACTCCACATTTACACCTTCATGCATGTTAGTAGGATCCCACTAGGAGAGTTGGAGTCACATTATAATACATCTAATGAAATAAAATGCCTATACAAGGATCTTCTACCATCAAATATTACTCTCTCTAATGGTATACAATCAATCATTGGACTTGAACAGCTTGTATTCTGCTATTTCTTGGTTTTGGTCTTGTGTATTTTAGCTTTTAATATTGTATCATTTTATACACTGTTATGAATTTGGGCTGGGACAATGGGTAGCAGGCTGCATGTAAGATCCTTCCATCCCCTGGATCCAGAAAGTATTAAAATATATAAAATTTAAGCGAGGGTACCTTCCTCTGTTGAGGTGATTGCCTGGGTGATGGGCCATTAGGGGAACAAAAGAAAGAAGGCTGTATGAAAGACATGAAATGGTTGGGGCCCCTCCCTCAATTGGTTGGAAGGACAAAGCCTGGGTTTAGCTGTGACATGGAAATAAAGCAGCAAGCTGGAGAAAGAGTCACAGAGCAATGTTTGATATCTGTTTGACTCCAAAGGCTACAGCTATGACAAAAACTACATCTTTAAGGGGTGCTAATGCTGTGAACACATCTATCGTAGGCACGGGTTGTATATATGTGGAAATAAACCATATATCCTAAAAACGCCACCGTCTCTGCTGTGCCGCATTCCAAAAGGAATAATAAAGGCTGGGTGAGCACCTGACGCCCCAGGACGCTCACACCACATAGAGATCAGGGTGGTGTGCAAGAATAAGTATGTCTGCCATTAAATTGTATTCCCGTTTGTAAAGTGCAAAGGAAGGGTAAAAATAAAAACGGATTTCTGGCACAACCGTTTAAATTTTGGCAAGGAAAGAAGTGACAAAATGAGATAAGCAAAAAGAGACACAAGAAGAGGTAATATTGAGCACTGCCAATGAATTAGAAATGTGTTTCCGTGTTGGTGGAGACATTACCCATGCCTCATTTTAGTTTCTCCAGCATAAAAACTGGAGTTTTTCTCCCATTCATTGGCAAGACAAGGAGACAAACTAATGAAGTTGCTGTACTTTCATGTGAACTTTGCATGTAATGTAAGTAGTGGAAGAAACCTCTCCGTAGGTTTCTTCTTTCCAGGTCAGAATTTCAAGAGGCCAGTGCTGTGATCAAACATGTTCATTTTCTCCCTCTCTTGAGACCAAAGGGTTGTCTTTCCAGAATTTTCTTTCTTATAGTTCATTATTGTAAGCCCAAATCACATGCATCTAAGAGGAAATTAAAACTTCTGTTAAGAAAGACACACAAGTGACTATCCTGCCTTCAATTATCAAAAGAACTGTAATTAATGTTCCCTCTTGTCTAACCACCTCATGGACTTGCACAGAACACTATCAAAGCTAATTGAGAAAGTCTGTGAAAGGTGCCATAATTGAGCCTTTCAAAGCCTGGTGCCCTTGGACAGTTTTGGATCACAACCCCATCACCTTTAGCCAGCTTTGAATGCTGTGAATTGTAGCCCAAAACATCTGAAGGATACAAGGTTGGAGAAGCCTGATAAAAATATATTACCTCCACCAATCACAGCTAGACTTAGGAATCAGAAACCAGCAAGGATCCATCAGTGTCATCACTTTTCTCCCTCCAGTTTTCACAGCCTGGATTTCAGACATAAGAGCAGACTAAAAGGACAATTAGATGAGACTACTTCACTCTCAAAAGCTGTACTAGGGGGATCTTAAGAGTATAGGGGGAAATTGTACTAAAGATGGTGGCATTATTGGGCTTACTTCTGTTTCTACCTCCTCATGTAATATGCAAACCTCAAATTCTTAAATGCCATATCCATGATCCATATACTCCACTTCATCAGTATCATCAGGAAGGAGACCTCATCATTGGTGGCATAGCTTCTCAAAACATCATCGTCTCCAGTTCAGTACCCTTCGCTGAAAAACCCCTACCAACATTGTTTGAAGGGCTAAAGTAAGAACTGAATAATTTCTCTTCTGTATTCTGATTCCTTCTTTGGACACCGGAGCCATTAGTTATAGGAGAACGGTAGCTAAACTGTGGCTCTGGACTCCATCAGTTCCCATCAACAGTGTCAATCAATAATAATAGGCATTGTAGTACCACTTTCCCCACTAAATCAAACATTCAGGTATCATATGTAGACATGTAATATTGTTGTGGAAATAACTGCATCACTTTTGCTTCCAGCTCCCAAGACAATGAAATAAGGGCAGGACCTCTACACAAATTATGAAGCCTGCATTAAAAATGTAGACGAGGAACATTTTGAAGTCTGCATTCCACACCCATAGAATTTCACGTCCATCCCTTTTCTACAATTCTAGGCAAGGAGGATGACTTGTAGTGATACCTGTTCAATAGTTTCCTCAACTGAGAAAATAGTTAAATAATTGCAGTAATAAATAATACTAATGAGGATTATGTAGAACTGAGAAATGATAACTTTACAAAGTGTTACATACTCTTCTGATAGAAAATGAAATTCTCTTTTAGTGTGGTACCTAAGAACTACCAGCACATCCTGGCCTTCCAATTTGCAGTGAAGGAGATCAACAAAAACCCTCAGCTCTTACCCAATGTCACTTTAGGCTTCCGCATCTATGACAGTTATTTCAATGTGAAATGGACCTTTTATGCCACAATGTTACTCATATCCACACTGGAAACATTTGTCCCCAACTACATCTGTGACATCAAGAACAACTTGATAGCCATCATTGGGGGACTGGACTCCCAAACTTCCCTTCATGTGGCAACAGTCTTGGATATCTATAAGGTTCCACAGGTAATATATTATATACCTCTGTCAACTTATGGGAACTTTGCACATCAAGATAAATTTGGATATATACAGTTCTTTTTTTCTGGGTGGATGCAGGGGTACTCATACGCCTAAATATTTTGTGAATATTTGTACTTTTGTCCATTTACTGTATTTATTGTTCTCGATTTGAACTTTAAAATGGTGATTTTCCTGAGTCAAAATGACAGTACCCATAAACTTTTCTTTTTAAAAAAGCACTGGATATTTAATGTGCATATTTCAAATAACCATGCTTTTCCATGGTTATCCAAGCTAAGAGATAAAGTCTTGATAGCATGTATTGTTTTGCTTCAGACGTTCCCTTTGGCCTAGCCATTGACTGCTATATGATAACAGCTGATAGGCAGGTGAGTGTCACTTGGCTTAGCAAAACTAGCATGCACAGGCCAAATGGCGAGGATTACAAGGCCCAGTGTGAAGTTGCCCCAATGTTGCTCTCAATACATAAATCTAAAAAATAAAAGCTATTTCTGCTTCTGTCTCTTTCTCCTACTATCACAACTACGTTTAGCTCATATATGGCCCTGCTCCAGTGATGAATGATAAAACCCCAGGCCTTTTCTTCTACCAGATGGTGCCCAAGGAAACCCACCAGTATAAGGGGATCCTGTCTTTGCTTCTGCATTTCAGGTGGATATGGATCGGGATCCTAACATTCTATGATGAGAATGCAGAAATATTTGTGCAAACTGTGGTTCCATTTTTTTCGAAGAATGGCATCTGTTTTGCCTTCATAGAAAGAAATGACAAACTTACTTATCTCACGGAAATGAATGATATGTTTAAACTGGGGGCAAAAATTCATGACAGAATAAACGATAGCAAAGCCAATGTAGTGTTGGCTTATGGAGAATCATATGCTTTGGCATATTTTAGATGGTTGCCTTACCTATCAGAACTGGAACAAAGTTCAAATAAGCCAAAAGGTAAAGTATGGATTATGACAGCCCAGGTGGAGCTCACTTCTTTTGTCTATCAACGGACTTGGGATACAGAAATACTCCATGGGGTTCTCTCATTCTCAACTCACTCTAATGATCCACCAGGATTTTGTCAGTTTGTCAAGAGCAAAACCCCGTCCAACCCGAAAGGAGATGGCTTCATTTTGGACTTCTGGCAACAGGCATTTGGCTGTGTATTTCCAAATCAAGTTGTTGGCAGTGTGAAGGGGGATATTTGCACTGGGCAAGAGAAGCTGGAGAATCTTCCTGGTCCTTTCTTTGAAATGAGCATGACCAGCCACAGCTACAACATCTACAATGCTGTCTATGCTGTGGCCCATGCTTTACATGCCATGTCTACATCCCGAGGCAAACACAGACCAGTAATGATCAGGGGAGGAATGAAGCTTCAGAATCAGCCACTGTGGCAGGTACTGGGCTGCGCACCCTTCCTCAAAGAGGTTCAAAACATGTTCTGTTTGCCTTTTCTATCTGTCCATTTGGTTAACTGTCATTATCCCTATGCAA